TGGGACTTGGTGTATAAACCCTTTGAAATGGAACTCATTCTATGTTGCTTCTCAAATCAGCAATGGTGTAGCACTGGAATTGGCCGTAATTAATAACAGCATTTGTCCAAGGCTTTGTAAGTAAAGGGAAATCAGTGATAAATGGCTCAGAAAGAAACATGAACATTGAGTTAGACACTATTTCTTAAAGTCTCCTGAATTTATTTACCAATACGTCTTTGGGTGGTTGAGGGCGGGGAGAGATCAGAACATAGTTCTTTAAAAGCTTTCATTTACAATTAGCAGTAGAAATTACATCTGCTTTGCATCCAACCCTGTTTACATCATATGCACTCAACATTATATGCAGTAAAACCTTCCTGGGGAAAATATTGCATTAATAGCATGTTTTTATTTATTTGGTTCTACTTCACATTAGGCAACACAATGACACAAATGGATTTTGTTTGCTTTCTGCAAGTCCATATTTTAGGCTGCTCGCTAATGAATAGTGCTGAAATAACAGCCATCTGGCTTTTTGAAGTCTTTTAAAAGGCATTACCAAACTGCATTGAGTATTAGCCTAAGAAATAGAGCCATCCTGGGTTGCTTGGATCACTTTGCAGAGGCAGCACTGTATCATATTCGGAAGGGGGGAAAGTCTCTCTTCATTTTCCTTTCTCCCTTCAATATGAAGGGCTCAGGCCATGGCCTGAAGGCATATGAGGTCACCACCTTCGTGAAGTTAAGCAAGTCTGGGTCTGGTCAGTGACTGGATGGGAGACCACTTGGGAACTGTGTTTACTCTATCTTGGATTCCATCACTGTAGAAAGTCAGAATATAAACATAAACAAACAAACGACTAAGAGCCAAATTAGGCATGATGGCACAAGTCTTGTGTGTTTAAACTATGCTATTTAGAAATGCCACTCCTTCACAGATGACAACCATGTAAATGCCATTTTGGAAATTTTCAGGGATAGGTAGAAAGGGAGGAAATGCTTCCCTTATTTGGGGCAAACAGTGGCAGCTGACATCCACCATTTTTATTTCTCACAGGTCTGACAAGGAGAAAGCTACATCTTTTATCAACTTATTGGGGCGGGGCGTTGGGAACTTTCACCACCATCACCCAAAGTTTGAGCTGAAAGCTTCTAATCACTGTTGCCCCCAGTCCAAAACTCTGAATGTTGCTTGATGCTCACACTGCTTGAAAAGGGCTGATGTGTATATGCTTCAGTCGAAGTCTTAACCCCATGCATTCAAATGGGATCTAAGGCAGTACATTCTTCCATATAAAGGGGAAAGCATGACCCCTCAAACGGACAGGTATGGGACACCCCAAATGAACTTGCCAATCTGCCTATGTCATCAGTGGAGGCCCTGCTCCAAGTAACCCTGCCCCGAGAGGTGAGGCAACAAATGATGACAGGAGATAGGGTCAGTGGCGGCTCCCAGCTTTCAAATCCTCTCTGCAGAGAAAGTCAGTAACCACCATCTCTCTCCCTATTTAGACAGCAAGTAAAAATATTTATTTTCTTCCATGTGTTTTCCAGGTCATTGCTGTCTGTCAGTTATTATGCCTCTCTGGGTTAGGCGTTTTCCCCCCAGTTGGTTAGTTGGTTTGGGGCTCTTCTATTAAGGTTGCAGTCCTAAACACTCTTACTAGGGATTAAGCCCCATTTAATACAATTGGAGTTTGGAGTAAAAATGCATGCATTCTACTTGATGTCTCTATGGTTTTATGTAAGCTCCCTTGGGCTTTGAATGATTGAAAGGTGGATTATAGTATTGAAAATAAAATAAATACATTTTCAGGTTACAAATTCTGTCTTGCAAGCATTAGCTGATGGAGGGAGGATATAGAAAGCTCACTTGCCCATGGAACAGCTTCAGTTTCTGCTGTCTTCACGTGTCTGTGGTGCTAACTGTACTCTGCAGTGTGGGTGGGAAAAACTGGACATGGATAATTTTTAGTAGGGACATTTGCCCCATTTTCACAGCTTGTATCAAGAACTATGGTAGTGCACTGGAAGCACACTGCTTGGCAGATATCAATATTATCTGCTGCTATATGGGCTATCTAGAAAGCAAATTTAGAATAGGCAGGGAATCTTCATAAAGACATTAACATTTGGTAAAATAAAATGAGTTTCTGTATCATGTGAAACAAATACATGTCATCTTTCTGGTTCATACTTTCCATAAGCAGCATCCTACTTCACATTTTTGAAATGATGACAAACCATTAGATATTTGATGCATGAAACGCATGCAAACATGCAGACGATGGAAAGACCTTTACAAGGCCCATTTTTCCATAGTTTATGTGGGCTATGCAGACGATTCAGATCATAAACAGGTTGGATAAATGGCAGCATTATCTGCAAAGGAATTACATTGACACGGGATACATAAGGGAGCCACAGTGAATTCAGATAAGTCAGGGTTTCTGATAACTGTGATTCAAAATAATATGGACCTATTACATTTATATCGAGACACGTTTAGTTCATATTTCTGCTAGTTACTGGAATATTTATTCCATGTTCCAACAATTTTATGGTTTACTAATAGCGTTGACATTCAGCAAGCCTAGACTCCTTGCTATTTTGAGAGCAGAGATTTATATGTTTTCATTATATGCTTTCCTCTTGTAGATCTTATAAACAATATGAATTATAGTGCTTTTACTGTGACCGACATTTCCTGGAAGACAAGGACAAGGTAAATACAGCCCTCACCTCCTGGATTTCTATCTGATCATTCTGAAATATGAACATCCTTTGCCCTAAATCTAGATGATGGCTTCTATCAATCTATTTCTCCAGATATGATTTAGAAGCAACTGCTTTTATGTGATAAACAATAAAATAATAAGAAGTTCAGAGAAACCACCCGCATTGGGAAGTTGGTAAACACAAAACTAAAGTTCATAGTACTTGTGCAGCTCTTTATTTTAATTGTCAAACTACAGAAACTCTTTCTTTGGGATAATGTTTGAGAGAGAGAGAGAGATTGAGGATTGCTGATCAAAACGGCACTTCAGTTTTATGCTTTTTACACTTGGTAACATTTTTGTTTTCAGATAGAAATAGATTTCCAATGCAATGCTGTTCCAATCAGACCAGCCTCAATTCAGCACTGTCCCTACCACACAAAGGGAACGTAGGAAACTGCCTTACACCGAGTCAGACCTTTGGTGCACCCAGCTCAGTATTGTCTACATTGACAGACAATGGCTCTCCAGAGTTTCAGGCAAGAGTCTCTCCCAGCCCAACTGGGAGATTCCAGGGAGTGAACCTGGGGCCTTCTTCATGCAAATCAGATGTTCTGATGCTGCTCACAAGGACCTTGTTTGTTGTGTGCATTTAAATGCAAGGATCGCAGTGATTATCCTCAAATAGTGCTGTAACGGTTAGACTGCAATCCTATGCATCTTAGAGTAAGCCCCATTGAACTCAGTGGAATGTACCTTGGGTAGACATGCATATGCTTGCATTTTAATGGTTAGATTGTTTAACCAAGCACTTTTTGCTTAATTAAAGAGCTGTCGTCTTCTTCTTCATTATTATTATGATTATTATTATTATTATTATTATTAAAAATAAAAATACAGCAGTATTGGGGAACCTCAGGCCTCCATATCTGGCCTTCAGGACTCTTCTTGGACCACATACTGTCTCCCCAAGCTGCACCCTCACCAACCCTGCTGCATGCCCTCCTTGAGTGCTGCCAGGATTGTGCCCTTGAACTAAATGTGCCTGCAATATAGTCTTTCTTCACAAATGCAAGAATATCCGCCCCCACTGAGCACACTTTTTGCCTTTGATCCTGCCCACTACTGGCAACCTGATGTACAATGCAGGGAACTGGAGATTGCAAAAACAAGAAACTCCGAGAAACAAAAATGGACAGATTTGGCTATCCATCACCATTACTCAGGCATTCATCTTGGAGGTGGCAGGAATCTAGTTTAAGGCCTATAGATAACTAGTAACAAACTGTTGTATATTAGAATACAAGCCCTGTATTTATATCTAAGTATACTGGGGCATGGGGCTACTTGTTTGTAAATGCAAACATCTGATCAAGACGTACTTGAAAGCCCTCTATAAATTACAAATTATAAAAAGCAAGCTTTTCAAGTTAGCCAAGGTTACTTTGTTTTCAGTCATTTTGTATGAAGTGCTTTTGAAATTTTCTAGGGTTACCTAGCGGCTGATAGTTACCATGGAAACAACAGCACAGAACTCGCTTACTCCAGGGGGAAAGGGGATTTCCTTCTAATAAGCTTTGTCACCATTACTCCTTTCTTCCATTTCTGTTTTATTGTTTTCATTTCACAGTCGGAGATCAGGCTTCCAAAGCATCTATGCCTTTTAACCCCGAGGTGTATTCCAACTATCTCCTGTAATTTTGTAACACCTAATTTGCTATGTTGCTTCTGCCATTCCTGTCAGCTGAGATACGGCTTCACATGTGACCTTCCATGCTCAATTACTGCATTTGCTTCAAGTGACCTTGGTGCAGCTACTGAGATATATTCTTCATCCACTGCAGAGACCATCATCCATTCCAGAAATTGTGACTGTCTTTCACACACCCATTTATACAGGTTGTAGCTCTGTTCTCCCCTCCCTTGTGGCCAATCAGTATTCAGCTCTCTTATAAATGTGAAACTCCTTACATCGTGCTTTTTTTATTTTATATTTTTAATGCACTTGTGCATTTGTTAAAATGCAAACATGCCCCCCAAAATGCATATCTTTAAGTGTGTGTGTGTGTGTGTGTGTGTGTGTGTGTGTGTTGCAAACAGTCTGGGGAAATTCTTCTCCCTCCTTTTTCACTCACTCAAAGCTCCTTCCCATCCTTTCCCACTTCTAGATGTAGTTTAATAAAACAACAATGACACCCAGTGGTTGCTGAGCTGATCAGCAGTTTTTCCTTCCACTGTATTAGATGCAGCAGGTGTTGACATAGTTTTTGCTTCTGAAAGCTTGATACAAGATTTCCAAATGCTATCTTTGACAACTTTATTTTTAAAAAGTATATCCCTGTGCCAGTATGACTGATATCTTCAGGACGGCTATCAATAGCATCACTCAGTTACTGTCCATGTCCTTTTCTTTGCATCAGGCAAGAACCATGTTTATGTCCTGTCCAGTTCTGACTTACGAAACAATCCTATGCACGCTTATTTGAAAGTAAGCTACAGTGGCAAAGTGTAGCTTGCTGGCTCCTCTCATGTGGGTGCAATTGCCATCTAAGAGAACAAGGGAGGTGTTCATGGTGAGTTCCGGCACGTCCTCTTCTAGAAAAATGGCACTGCTGGTATAAATGTATAAGAATACTGAGATAAATATTTGGCAGGGGTGTGTGCCTGTGAATTTAGAAAGCAATCGATCCACAGTTGAGCATTTTCCAGTTACACTGATCTCAATGGGAGACATTTCAGCACACTCTCAATCAACTCAATGGGATTCATTTTGGCACAACCATGCCACTGCCTTTTAATGGGCACCATGACTAATATGAAAAACAGTATATGGCAGGTGCAGATTAGGCTGTGCCATAGGTTAGATGGGGGAACTCTGGGGTAGGGGTGACTATGCTACATTGAGGATAACATTTGTATTGGTGCAGGTGGGGGGGCAGGCAGTATCTTCCACAATTTACAGCCAATGGCATGGTGAAATGCCTAAGGCACCAGTGGTAAAATATCCTTGTAGACTCCAGCAGTTCTCATTTAAACATGAAATAGAATCCAGCCTGCTAGATGTCCAGATCCCAGTTTTTAGCCCCTGGCTATATTTCCCATGCTACTGCAAAGGGTAGCAGCTTAGAGCCCATATATAATTGCACTGCTGAAGTTAAATCACAACTCTGATTGATAGATTAATAGCTTTGGAAGTTAGAGGGCAAAGCCTAGAAAAGTCTAAATGTTGTTTTCTGCTCTACAGAAATCTATTAGCTCTCTCCACGGGATTCAGCTTCCTGGAGCTGATGCAGTTTGTTGCAATAAGTTCAAGGGCTTTCTCTAGCATAGAATTATACTACATATTTTAAAATCTAATTTTAAACTCAATAACTGAAATTGGAGAAAAAATGAGAATTCCAAAAAATATTTTTCTTCTACAGGAAAAGAGGCAAATGTTTTCTTAAAGCTTTTCATAGTCGAGATCAGTGCTTTTTTTCTGGGGGTACGCAGGGGGTACGCATACCCCTAAACATTTTGTGAATCGAAGTTTGGCCTCATTGAGGGGAAGTATTTCAATATGAGTAGGAAAATGAGAGAACCCCTAAACCTTTGGGGGGGCAGGACTGGTTGAGATGGTTGGTGGTTTTTAAACATCCCTACAATTTCATGCTGCAGTGAAGAAAAATATTTTGAATTATTAACATCCAAATAAGACTAGTAAGATGTCAGTAAATTCATTATTTTAAGAAGCTCAGGGCTGGATTACTGCAATGTACTCTATGTGGGGCTGCTAATGCTCCTGATCTGGAAGCTCCAGCTGGTGCAGAAAGCAGCAGGTACAGTGGTACCTCAGGTTACAGACATTTCAGGTTACAGACGCTTCAGGTTACAGACTCCACTAACCCAGAAATAGTACCTCGGGTTAAGAAATTTGCTTCAGGATGAGAACAGAAATCGTTCTCCGGTGGTGCGGCAGGAGCAGGAGGCCCCATTAGCTAAAGTGGTACCCCAGGTTAAGAACAGTTTCAGGTTAAGAACGGACCTCCAGAATGAATTAAGTTCTTAACCTGAGGTACCACTGTAGACTCCTGATGGAGTCGGATGGCTGATAGCTGTGACATTTCTGTTAAAGCATCTGCACTGACTGCCAATATGCTGCTGGGCTAGGTTCACTGCTCTTGTGTTTATATACAAAGCCCTGAACACCTTGTGTCCAGGATAACTTAAGTACTGCCTGAGCTGCTGCTTCTTCTTCATCTCAGCCCAGTCACTAAGATTACCCAGAAGAGCACTGTTAGCTGCCCCTCAAGTAACAAAGGCCTATCACCTGTCCCATGCTATGGGAGTCAGCAGGCATTCTCTCTTTTCCCATTCAGGCATCTCTCATTTTCTCATGCCAACAGGCCTATTCAACTTTTTCGTTGAGTGGGCAGTCATTTTAATTGCTGTTCTGTGTTGCTTTTAGGTTTTATCCACACTTCCTCTTGTTCCACTGCTTTCCTCCCAGGGGAAACCACTCTTTAGTACTCAATTGGAGCAAACAGCAGTTTTCCCCAGATTGCTGTTGGTTCCGAGTTATCTTTAAAGAGTGTGTTTCCCCTGGGAAATGAGTGGGGCAAGGGAGAAACTGTTCAGACTCATTCCTAGAAAGTGTGGGTCAAGCAGAAAACCATGCAGACCCATGTTTTCTAGGTACAGGACAAACAGAAGCGTAGACAAGTCATCAGCGGATTTTTAAAAAATGTTTTTAAATTGCTGTGCATTGCCCTGGTATTTTGTGAAAGGGTGATATATAAATACTTTTAAAAATCAATCAGTCAATGTGTAGGTTATAGTGGGTGTACGATGGCTAGTTGGCTAGTACTTTCTAGCAGAATTATGATTGCCGTCAATTTGGCTTAAGCTGATGACATTCAGATATTAGTAAAGACAACTTAAGAGGATTTTTGTGAATGTCCAAAATCCATATCATAGTCAGCTCCATGAGGGTGTTCACTTGGGTACGTGCAGAAAGTGGAGAAATACAAATTTATCTTCAGACACACCCTGAAACTACATGAGATTATTGGAATTTACATATAAATGTCATTTTTCACTAAATTTTGAATTTCACTGTAATATAGATACCACAAACAGACATAAACTGGAATGAACCAAGAGTTGCACCCAGTTAGTGCCCAGAGTATGGCATACACAGCAGTGTCATTTATAGCTGTGAATCAACTAAAAGCCACTGGATTTATTGACCTTGAGTCCACCACTGCAAAATGTTTGAAAGGCGCTCGGGATGAATTCTGCATGTGGAAGGTGCTGTACATGCAACTGACGCAACAGAGATAGATATAGCTTGGACTGCCACCTGCTCAAAATGATGGCGAGATTAGGCCCTCAAATAGCAACGCATTTCACAGCATTTACTAATGCAGAAAATAAATCTATACTAGAAAGCACTGCAACTTGACATTTCCAATATGATAAGCATAAGATGCTGCATATTACAAGAGCACAGCAGAAGATTTACTTCAAATGTGGTTTTTGGGGAGACTTTAATTGCTGCTTGGATTAAAGTTACATTTCAGGATAGTCATAGATGGGAAAGTATAAAAGATACCAGGAGGTTCTTTGTCAGGCTCATTCATGTGATTTAATAAGGGACTGATTCCATCAGGACACCCTTTCACTGGCATAAGGAGCTCCCACCTGCTACTTAGGTCACACAAAATTCCTAAATACCTAATTCCTAAACTCCTCAATACCATCAACTCTTCTGAGTGTGAAAAGCTGTGTGTATTATGGTTGTCATCAATTGTCATCAGAAGACAAAGGCAGTGGCAATGCCCTTGGATGCTAAACTTTTGGCCAGGCTCTCCTTTTAAAAGTTCTACAGACTCTAGGAAAGGAGAAGGGTCAGGAAACAGAAGGTGCAAATGAAGCCAAGCAGCTAGACTTTACCTAAAATGCAGGTGCAAACTGCAGACCCAACAAATTCTTGGCATCTTTACAATATTCACCAAGTCTTAAAACAGCAATGCTACACCATCAGGGCACATCAAAAGAATCATCTGTCACCAGATCAAAGGTTCAAAAATTCCTTGGGGAAGGGCCATAGCTCAGAGGTAGAGCACCTGCTTTTTATGCAGAAGGTCCTAGCTTGAATCACCAGCATCTTTAGATAGGGGTGGGAATGTCCCCTGTCTGAAACTATGGAGAACCTCTTCCAGTCACTATGAACAATACTAATCTAGGTAAATTCATGGATTAACTTTAGTCTCAGGCAGCTTCCTGTATTCCTCTAGCTGCCAATGATCCCACTATCTGCTGTTCTGGATAGGCAGTGCTCTGAAAAGATGACATAGTATAGCTAGTCTTATTAGCTGCACTGCCCAGCCAGCAGATATGACCTGATCAAATTCTACCAGCCTTTCTCCTAAGCATTGCATGAAAAACTACCATGCCCAGCACCTGCTACATGAAAGAGTGGAAGAGAGTGGAATTTTGTGATCTTTCAAGTGCTACCATGCAAATTTTGTTTTGATAGATATGTAATAAGAGAAGGTCACTGACCTGTATTCCTGAATTATCTCTAAGCTACCCAGCAGATGCTTTCATTCAGTTCTCTATAATTGACTGCTGCTTCCCATGCTCCATCCATACAGAACAATGCACTTAAGCTGAGGAACTGGCTGGTGTATTAGGAACAGAATGGTATATGTGGACCCACAAAAAGAAAAGAACCCCCCCCCATGAAAATAATTATGCCATTAACATGCAAACAGAATACTGAAGATCTTGCCAGTAAGCAAGCGTAGCCACAAGAAAAGTCATATCAGTGACCTTTTGAAAGGCTAATTGGAAAGAATCTGATACTGAACTGTTTGCAGAAATAGGCTTTCATTCATGATGATAATTGAACAAGAAGAGGGAGCATCCAGCCACAATGACAAGCAACATTTTGGGGAAAAACTGAAGTGTTGGAACATTGCAGAATAAATTATTTTCTGAACAAAAACAAAGATGATATGGCATTATTAATATGAGCAAAAATCAATCAGATTTCTGCATGGCTGATGTTATATGCATGGATCTGAATTCTTTTTCATGTAAGAGTTTTTAAAATTCAGATTTGAAAATCAGATGTTTGTGAATTCAGATATTGGCCTCAACTTTTAAATTCAATATAATTTGTGCAATTGGAGGTCTGTTGTTTGTTGGTTTTGACAAGTAAGCTGTAAAACATGATCAAATCCTAACAATCAGTTGAGACAGTGCTCAATGTATTGAACACTGTTGCAAAGCAACTGTGAAAGTACTGTTGCACATTGGTTGTAAATCACTGAAAACTACTCAGTGGTGGCTCATCTGGTTGTTTGCTGGCAGGTTAGTGGCATCTGATGCTTAGCGCCATTGACTGGAGAAAGGGAGGGTATATGGTGCCATTGCTTGGTGAGTCACTAATGGTGGAAGTGCTGAGGCTGCTAACTTCAGCACCATATTGGGTGGATAGCAGCAGCCAACCTCTGCTGACACTAGTTTCTGGTGTCCATACACCAGGCAGGGGCCTGCACAATGCTCAAGTAGTAATCCCAGTGACCGCTTTGCTGCTATGGGGCATCCTTTCAAAGGTATGATATTCTCCTCCCCCTTTCAGTAGCACTCGTCCACTGAAGCTGAACATTTCACACTGTCCTCCAGATTATATGAAACAGTGTTCCTAAAACCCACTGTACATCAACTGCCAACTGTTCTCTAATATTGACTGCCAAACTGAGCCCAATGTCAAGTACATGAGATGACTTAGGCTTATTCAGTGTATAGTGTGATATGAATGCTCAGTGAGTATACAACATCAACATTAGCAGAGGAAAATTTTCAGGAAAAATTATGAAACAAATTAATTTAAGCTCAAGCTGTAAACAGATAATACATAAAAACAATACAGGTGGGCAGCAAATACTTGTGGCGAGAGTTCTGCAAAAGCGGCAGTGCAAATACCTTCTGTCCAGGTGTTATGCCTGGCTGAACAAGAGCCCCAAAGCACAATTCAATATTCCAGGATGATTTGGTATTGACAGTTGGTGATGAGCTCATCTTAGAAATGAAAGTTACAAAATACTCTTCTTAAACTAACGCCCCCCCCCTTCTTAAATTTTGTGGTAATGTGGGAAATATATTCCAAATTCATTGACTTGCCTCTGCATTTCATACGGGTTGCTAGTTACAGAGTCATTTAAAGTAGCCTCCATGTGGCAAGTAATTTGTGTGTAGTGATCTGCAAAATCCCCCCCCCCCCGCGTCTCATTGAAATTCATAGTACTCTACTAAACTACTATTCATATATGGGCTAAAAGCACTTTAACTGAGAAGCATTTAAACTCAGCGCTATTTATTTATTTTTAGCCCGTGGGCTAAATGCACAAGGGAGAGATGCTCTGCGTTGGGAGTGGTGACGGGTGTGTGTCCAGATGTGGCAAAGACTTGGAGAAACTTTTTTGCCCCTCCTCCCATTCCTACGCAGAAGGAATGGTCGCTCTCTCTTTCCTCGTTCAGCTATGGCTCCCTCTGTTCTGCTCTTCTGGATGGCGCTTGGCAATTGTAACAAGGCGGAGTGTCATTACGGAGAGAAACAGGGAGCCGGGAAGCGGGAGATCTCTGCTGGAAGAGGAGACAACGCAGCTGAGCTTCTGACGGGCAGTGAAACCAAAAGCGTGGAGCCCTAGCCGTAATTCTATGGGCAGGGGAAAGATTTGCTCTCTGTAAAGCCCGGGCGGGAGCTCGGAGTTTGTAGGGTGTCCTTGCGCGGTCCCTGCTCTTGGGTCTTCTCCATCCTTACCCACCCCTTCAGATGACAACATTAAGCTGGTGCCTGGAATAATTTATCCTGGTGAAGGTAGGAAAACGCACAGAGGGTTTTGTTCTGGATCTCAATAAACCACGTGTGACTTGGCTTGTTGGACTTCATAGCGCCGCGTTTTTACAAGGGCAGAGGCAGGGTAGTATCAGCCTGAAGTGTTAACGTAATTTCAGTCTGCCGGTGGAGGAGATATTCTGATACCTGGAAACTGACTAACTACTCTTGAGGAATGGGGAGAGTTTTACCAGCCATTATATTCTACCTGCGAACATGGGCGTAGCCAGGATTTTTGTTAGGGAGGGCAGAACCTCAGTTAGCTTTGCATTTTTATTGATCTTTACTGATGGCCCCCCTGCCCCCCACGGCTATGCCCATGCCTGCGAATCGATAAATAGCTGGAAAGGGGAATGTTAGGGTTTCGCGTTGTTCCCCTCTCCATGTTTTTAAGGTGCCGACTTCTCCAGTTGCGGAGGAGTGAGCTTAGGCTACATGGGACACGTGTTGTGCGATCCAGTGCCCTTTTCCCTGTTCCCACGAATTAAGGTTGCAATCTGGCACACACTTTACCGGCGTCTAAACTCAGCTGGACTTAATTCTGTTTAGACTTGTATAGAATTGTGCTGTAAATATCGACTCCCTCCCGTTTTTAAAAAATAAAAAAATGATTTTGTAGCTGTGCATGTGCCTGTTAACCAGAAAGTTGGTGGTTCAAGCTCACCCAACGACAGCTGTGTGCAGGATACTTGCATTACAGGGGGTTGAGCTGGAGGACCCTCTGGTCCCTTCCAACTATACAATTATTTGATTGTATAAACCCACCACTTGGGCACTTCACAGACAACTCTCCAATCTAAAGCAGTGGATTGTAGATTACACTGCCTTCTTATTGATATGTTTTTAAAATGGAGATCTATATATAATGGCTCGTTTTTAGGCTCGTGAAAATAATTGTGTAGTAATTATTCAGAAATGTGTTGCTTTTACTGTTCCCAAACATCAGCTGTTTCATCTTTCATCCCCATTTCCACCATTAAATCCAGTGGCAACATGAAAGAGGAAACAGTTGATGTTTGGGAACAGTAAAAGCAGCACATTTCTGAATAATTACTACACAATTATTTTCACGAGCCTAAAAAATTAATCAATTTTAAGAGGATCTCAAGGGTGTGTATGTATCCTCCTCTCTTCCTTGCATTCCTTTATCTCCCCTAACCCAGCACACCCCACCTTCTCCCCTCTGGCTGCTCCATTTTCTCCCCCAGTGTCCCAGATGGTGAGAGTTGCTGGTCTTGGAACCTTGGAGGCCGAAGTTCGAATCCCTGGTCAGCCAGGAAGCTCATGGGCTAGTCAGCATCTCTAAGCTACCTCACAGGGTTGTTGTGAGGGTAAAATGGAGAGAAGGAGAACCATGTTTGTCACCTTTAGTGCCTTGAAGGAAAGGTGTGGTTGAAATTCAAAATTCAATTGTTTTTCTTTCCCTCTTGCTCCACTTTCTGTTCAGCTGCTGAGGTGCTGGTCACAGCCTTGAAAAACATATCAAGCTGAAACAGAAAATGGGCAAGAACGTAACCCTTTTGACTTCCTCCTTAAACTATGGCTTTGTCAAGGGGGAAGGAAAGGGACCCATTACCTCAGCACCTCATCATGAAAAGGGCAAGTGAGTCATGTGCTGAGAGGTACTGCAGAAAATCCCCATGGGGTGCCTTTGCACCCACAGCACCATTCTGATGACTTCAGAGACAGAATTTTTGTAGCATGAAGCATTTTCGACTCACAGCCTTCCTGAGTAATTTAGAATCCTAGCTTTCCATCACGTTCTCCAGAAACAAGACTTTGCAAGTGAATACTGTCTTGAGAAATCCCTTCCTCATAATAATGTGCTTGCTGTGGTTGTGTTCTTGACAAATGGAATGTTGACACCATCAGATCCCATGAATAACTGATTTTGTTTTGTTGTTCTAGTTTAATGAACTGAAGCTTATGAAGAATGAATGAAATCCAGACTTGAAAAGTACTGTGGACACACCTAACTTAACCTGCAATGGAGAGTGTTATTATCAAGGAATCGGTACATCAGAAACCATTCTCCTTCCTTTCCTAATTGGGATTATCTGTTCAGCCAGTTTAGCAGGCAATGTCCGCATTCTATTCACTTTAATAAAGTATGCAAGAGACTATCCAGGAAAGAGTGGAATTGTGATCCTAAGAGCATTTAGTCAAGATCATGCGGTGGGGTTACATCTGAAATGCCATGAATTTGAGGCATCATCATCAAAAAGCCCTTGTAATGCACTGGAGTGAATAAACACAGGACTGGCCTTCTATATCATCTGCTATTTCTCCATCTGCCTCAGTTTTGCCAGTTCCATTAGTCACTCTTACTTGTACATCCTGCTTAGTGAGAGCTTTCAGAAACATTTAAGGCAGTGCACGAATTAAAGACACAGACATGGAGTTAACCATATTGAGAATACCCTGAAATCAAGTTGGAAAAAAATTGTCCAGAACTTTGTCCAAATTCTCACTAGCTGCTTTAATTCCCTTTAGAGAAATGCAGAACCATTCAAAAACAATGTTCTTGGACCTGATATATAATAGCCTATTTGGACAATGCTGAAGTAAGGAAAGCTTTAGACTCATGATGGTTTGTGTGATCACTTTCCTGACAACAGGCAGAAATTCTCATTGTCACTTCCATTCAGCTGCCTCACAGTGCAGAGGATTACTTCCCATATTCATTGAATTTAGACTGGACTCTCAAGCCTATTCAGTTCAAACACACACATATTCAAACTTGTCATAGCTGTTCTTTCATTGCTTTGTATTTGTCTGCTCATTGCTTTCCATGTGTTCCTTCTGATTTTATTATCACTATTATTATTCATATCATTTGTATACTGCTTTATATTTTTAAGAAAATACTCAAAGCAGTTTACAACAATTTTAAACATCAAATAAAACCACCAGGAATAAAACATTACTGAAGAAAGTCAAATATAATGAATACATTCAAAACAAAATAATTAACAGGAAACTAGTATAGTATCTTAAATATTTCAAATAAAACATTACAAAGGAAGCCAACCACAGAATGTATATTTAGCACAGCAAAGTTAACAAAAAATCCTAAATATTTCAAAAGAAAACATTACTAAGGGATGTCAAATATAAAATGCACATTAAAAACAGCATAATTAACAAGAAAATAACATATTACTATAAGCATAGAACTTACCTGCTGCTGTTGCTACCAGTTCTGCCAATGATGGTTCATGGTGGGTGGGTATTGTGGACGCTCAGGCTCAATGACCTGGGTCTATACTAAGAGACAGCCAAGATGGCTTCTGGCCTCTGTAGCAGCCTCAGCTTTTGTAGCTGGAGTCAATCAAGGCCCCACCCTCCCAGGCCAGGTGGAAAAGGGCCTGCAAGGCAGGGAGCAAGTCTGTCAGAAGTCACAGCCAAGATGGTCTCTTGCTTTTTTACCATTTGTTTTAAAACCAATAAAAACATTGTTACTGTTGTTTTCATCCCACTACACCTTTCATTAAATCATCCTTAAACAAGTGTCTTCCCTTTTTTGTGTGAAAATCTTTCAAACTTTGCCTTTTCATGCCTCCAGTATTGTTCAGGACAAGCAATTCATTTTAACTGATTTCCACCAGAGCCATTCTTGGTCATATGTCTAGCAAAACCAAGTACTTCTATCACTCCTCTTGAAGTTTTGCTGCAGGGAAGGTCAGATCATCATAGCCCTTGGTCTGTATAGGTTGGTAAGTACACAACCTGATTAGTCATGTCTTGCCCTGGTGAATTCTGATGGCTCACAGCATTCCCTCAAGGGTCTGTGTGAAGACCAAGTCGCCTCTTGTCTCAAGAAATCTGTGTCTTCCTAAGTTAGCAGCTATTAAGCCAGAGGCCTGAATTGGGGCAATCCTGTGCTGCTGCTTGCTATTCACATGGCTGCATATAGAAAGCTGAGTAGGCCCATCTGTCCTTGCTGGGATACTGCAACAACATCACGACTCCTTCATCATCATGAGAGACTGCAGCAAAATGATCAAATGGTACCATGAAAATTGAGCACCAGGCTAGTGGGGTTGGATATGCCCCAATCTTAGGGATAAGTGAGAAATGCTATTCATTTGCATGTTCTGAAACAATACACAAACCACAACACAGCTATCCTTTGAAATTTGCACTTTTCCACATTCTGTGATGCAGTTTTTAAAAGTTGCAAAAATGCATATGTTGGGGTAACTGTGCACAAAAATAGGTAATTAGTGGAAAGAACATTCAAAGGCATTGTGTTAGGGGGAACTGCATGCAAAAATATCTTTTTGGGGCATAATTGCATTCAAAAATGTGTATATTAGAAGAAATAAGCTCTAAAATGCTAGCAAATTTTTGTGAGGGCTTAAAAGAATCAGCAGCTCAAACTGATGTGGAAATGTGGTGAACCTTTAACATCCATGGGATGAAATCTTTTGATGCAACTAAATGATTCATATATTTGATTTATTTGATTACAGTGTATATTTTACTGCCTTTTGCACATACTGTAGCTGAACTAGACAACTGTATACATTCTTCATAGTAGTGATTAGGACTTAATGGCCTGAGCTTTCAGACAATGTCAACAGGATCCACACCCCAGAACTAAGCTGGAGAGTCCAAACTTCAGAATTACCATCTCTTTTTCAATCATAACTCAGGTATTCTACACACCTTCACGGCTGGTGTTTATGCTAGTATGTCCCTTCATGTGATCATAGGAGGACTCATGAGACAGGTTAGTTTCACACTATTGACAAAGAAATTGGTCACTTGATGTGTGTTGGAATAAACCGTTGAACACATATACCAAGCCAGTCACGCGCTTACTGTGTCTGTGAGCTAAACATAACGCAGGACATGCGACAAATGCAAACTTATTCACTCTCCCCTGTGCTCAAGTGCTAGGAAATTCCAGGACAACCTTTTACAGCTTGTGGGGAAACTATAAAGCTAAAGGGACCCCTGACCATTAGGTCCAGTCATGACCAACTCTGGGGTTGCGGCGCTCATCTCGCTTTATTGGCAGAGGGAGCCAGCGTACAGCTTCCGGGTCATGTCGCCAGCATGACTAAGCCGCTTCTGGCGAACCAGAGCAGTGCACGGAAACGCCGTTTTCCTTCCCGCTGGAGCGGTACCTATTTATCTACTTGCACTTTGACGTGCTTTTGAACTGCTAGGTTGGCAGGAGCAGGGACCGAGCAACAGGAGCTCACCCCATTGTGGGGATTCGAACCGCCGACCTTCTGATCGGCAAGTCCTAGGCTCTGTGGTTTAACCCACAGCGCCACCCGCGTCCCTTGGGGAAACTATAGCCCTCCATATATTGCTGGACAGCATTGGCCACATTGGCTGAGGTTGGTGCTGCAGGTTCCCCAGTCCTGTTTTACAGTTTCCTTGAGGGAAGAAACTGGAGATTGTTTTGCAATATCTGTTTACAAATAAACACACTGAGCACCCACTTAGGAAGTACTAGTCTAAAAGCAGGATCAGATTCCTAGATACAACAGCAGCTCACCCTTAAGTTCCCCAAGACCACTTCTTACTATTCCATTGCCATGTCCCAGTTCTCTTTCTCTGGCCTGAGAATGACAATGTTGTCCCTGGTAGTCCCCCACCGAGAAAGTGGGATGTGGCACCCATCTGAGTAGCTTGGGTGAGCCACCTGCAATCAAAGACCAGCTAACTGAGCCTTAGATAGACTGGGGTCAATTGGCCAAGTGTTTACAGTAAATGGCACAACCCAATGTTGGCTGAATTTGGTGCATGGTAGAAGCATGCACACAATTGGCTTGCCACCACCAGCTGATGTATGAGGGAGTCAGCCAAGGCTGATTCTGCTTTCCCAGGGCAATTGTCCTCGAGTCCAAAGTAATAATGCTAATAAGTCAAAGCTGGTTTCTCTTACAAGACACAACTCAATATCTTCGCATCTCTGCTCTAGAGTGATGTTTTTGTCTTCGTCTTCCTTTCATTCACCAACATACATTTCAACCCAGGCGTTTGTGGCCAAACCATGCAATGCTAATGTTGCAT